CAAAGGACAGTCTCTGTCCTTTGGCATTGCCTCGTCTGGGTTCCTCTCTACACAGAGAATTTGACCAGCACACTTCCGAGGTAATCCGGATAGTGATCACTTAGACGCCACTAACTCCCATATATAAATTTGCTTTACCATCACGTTATCTACTTATCGCCTGTGTTTGCTCTCTGGCGATCTGTGTTCAAACTCCAGTGTCAGCAGCGACATTTCATTCCTATATAAGAGTTTTTAAATCATCAACTAAATGGTTAATAAGTAATGGACTCTGATCATTCCTGCAAGCTATAAAATAACCCGTGATTGATATGGACTGAAAAGAGAACAAAATAAATCCATTTTCACAGGTGCAGCTGTGAATGCAGAAGCTGTCTAGAACACGCATGAAAATATTTCTATACCCAACACGAAATTTAAAATCTATTACTTTCTCGAACAGCTGTCTCCTTGGTTATTCTATGTCGGTTCCAAGCGGTAACAGTCAGCCATTCCGTTGACCTTATTCTTTTGATTAACTCCTGACAAGACAACTGGAATATCGATCAAGAAAACTTAATTATTTAATAGAACAAGCTACATTCAGTGAAATTTTCGGTGAAATCTGTTTAAAAACCGTTACCCCAGTGACCATCCTTCTGTCTGCTTCAGCATGTTAGCGTGATATTGCAATTAGGGTCAGGGAGCGGTTTTTTTTTAATTCTTTTTCCTGTTAAATCAATAAAAAAAATTAATTATGAATAACGTATTACCTCTGCACAGTGTAAAAATTTGACGAGCAAGCTCGTAAGTCAGAAACAAATTGTGATTGATGAGAAAAAAATAGAACGTGACGATCGCCTGTCGCCAGTTTCAAGTGAAAGTTTGAACTTGAAATGACATGATTAACACGTGTTTTTTGTATTGTGTGACGGTTACACACCTGAACCCTTGGTTAAACGGTGACGTCGCTCCTCCTGGTCGCTCCTCCTGGTTCCAAGCAAAAGTTACTGAAGCAACTGTACTGATCTCCGGTCTGTCTACCCACGCTGTGTTTAGATCTTATTGGGGCCGATATTAGTCCGACGGGGTGGCAAAACACAAGAAAAGAAAAAAAAAAAAAAACTCACGAAAAAATTACTGATAAAAAAGGTGACAACCTTTTATATCTAATGTCCGTTACATAAAGAAAAATTGTTCTTATTTCCCGACCCGCTCTGTGGACTATGGCACTGTTAAAAGATTTCAATTGCCTAAAATTGTGTATGTCGGAGGTGGTTTAGTTCGACACTGGGGCTGATCATTCGCATTGATTCTTCTCTTCGACTTGAGTTGTATTTCTTCTTCTTCGTCGACTAAGATAGAACTTCTCTTGTCTTCGACTTGGCTGCAACTTCTCTTGTCTTCGACTTGGCTGCAACTTCTTGTCTTCGACTTGGCTGCAACTTCTCTGCGGCTTTCGAGAATCTTCTTCTTCGTCTGCTTGGGCTGGAAGTTCTCTTGTCTTCAACTTGGGCTGGAAGGATTTCTTGCCGCAACTCAGCCGCAACTCATCTGTCGTCCGAGGTGGTCTCTTCTCGCTGCCGTCCGGGGCTGAACTCTTCTGTCTTCGACTTGGGCTGGGAGGATTTCTTGTCTGAGGATTCTTTTGCCCGCAAAGGGGCGAGTGAATCGGGCCCGATGCCCGCGTTCAGGCTCTATCCCTGCCCGCGGTCCAAACTCCAAACTGATTTCTGTCGACTGGGTCCTGCTTTTTGATTGACGCCGCAACAAACTGGGGTGGGTCTGTCGGCGTCAGGGTTTTTCTCGATAACTCAAAAGTCGCATTATTTTTGATTTCCATTATCGCTATTGTTTTCAAAATTCCTCCTTGATGCCTTTTGTGGGGAACCCCATCTCTTGGTATGTCAGGTGACCGTTTTTCGACCAATGGTTCCTGATCGGGCATTTCTTTCTCTTCTTTCTGCAGATCACGTGACCGTTTCCGACCAATTGTTATTGATCGAGCATCCTTTCTCCTCCTTTCGGGCGGGGTTACATCGTTCTTGTTTTTAAAAAAAAAATCCAATTTTGCCTTTTTCTGCAAAAAAATGACAATGGGCTCTGTCAAACAGCCCGCCACTAATTAGATGTGACTTCAGGGAAGAATATTGGCGCTATCTGTGAACTGAGACAATCGTCCCTTCACCTCCGTCTTTGTCAGACCCGACAGTCAGAAAATCTTAATTATCTACATTGAAAATGTTCCCCACTTTATTATCGTAGGTTTCTAATTCTTAATAGGTCAGGATCTGTATATAGTTCCACCGGTCACTCCCCTCAACAAAAAAACTTTTTCTCTGATTAAGATAAATTTCGTTTCTATTGTTCTAAAAATTTCCCTTTCTCCAATTTGACAATGAGTCTTTCCACGCAAAAGTAGGCTAGGTGCTTCGACCGACGATAATACACTCTTATCAAGCATTGTCCCTTCCACTCTCTAAATGACTTTCCCTTCTAAATAACAAATCCCATTGTTCTTTCGAAAATCGGCCAAGATGTTGGCCTAATTACCTTTCTGATACGTGTTTTGTTAATGACCGCTTTTTTGTATTTCTCGACCTCTTTTTGCTTTTCTCTTTTCTTCCTCTTCTTCCCTTAGGATCGTCTAAGTACAATCTTAGTGAATTATTTTCAACTCAATTATTTTCCGTTTTAAAAAAAATCAACAACCTGTTTAGTAAACCGAGTTGAATATTTCTAATAATGCAAGGTGCCACAATTGAATGATTGGGTCTTTCTCGACTGAAGACTTCGATGTTTTTTTAAGATATCACCACCCGACCAATAATTGTCATTCGTATAATACTGTTAAACAAAAGTACATTATTAGTCCGTAATAAAACCCTCTTCAACAAATCAGATACCGTCATGAGTGTGACGATAAACGACATCCGCGAGCCAAGCCTCTGATCAGGCTATTTTGAGGAGCGTGGAACCGCCTCTAAATTGCTGGTGTTCCCAGGTCCATCCTCACCCGGGGTGGTAGCAACCTGTTAGGGTCCCAGATATGGGCAAATAGTTGACCCCCAAACTGGGGTCAAAACGGTTGAAAGTGAAAAATGGGTTTTAATACCAGCAATAAAAATTTTGTCGGCATTAAATAACACATTGAAGTTAACGTGCCGTAAAACAAACCAAACTAAATCAACGAGCCAGTGTAGATGGTCCCCATGTTTATTGAATCCGCTATATGTATTATATAAATATATATCATGCCTTGTATTACTAGGAAATTTCACTTCCTTCAAACTCACTTTAGCAAAATTCACAAGCAGCTCCCTATATCACTCCAGTAAATACTCGACTCCACATATTTTTCTTTACCGTTACATGAGCTATATTAGGCCGAAAATGGAGTTCTGTGGTCATATTTGGTCAGAAGCTGCACATACCACATTCTCTCGCTTCTATAGAGTCCAAAAGCGTCTCCGAGTTATTGTGGGTGACGAATGATTTTCCATCCTTCAATCTCTCTCTCACGGGTGGGATGTGGTAAGCATATCCCTGCTATATCGCTACTTTCACAGAAAGTGCTGAGATGGACTACATTCCTTGCTTCTGCCTGGACTAAGCTCCACGGCAAGGATCCGGCATATCACTTAGATTGCAGTAAACCATCCACATTATCTCTGTATTACATCAGTGAGAAGCAAGTTCTACTCAAGCAGATTCATCCTGCCAACCACTGCTCATGGAAACAGACTCCAAAGATGATGCTTCCCTACTATCTTAACCCGTTCAATGCTAGGGTTAGATATTATCTTTCCCTCCTATCCGTAAGATCTGCCCCCTAACGTAACCTCTACCTCGAGTGACTCCCAGGCCTTGTACAGTCTGAAATTTACTGAAAAAAGAAAATCTTACAACAGTCATCTTTTAATTGGAAAGGTTTAGATAATCATCATTTTTTTTTCATTTTTTTTATCCGGTTTCATAAACAGTACAGGCAAAAATTCGAGACAAACTTTAAAAATAATTCCCTTGATATTATCGAAATCAAATAGGAGTAAAGAATGGGGAATAGCTACGTAAATTAATTATTTCAGTGAAAGTTTTAAAATTTCCTCCTGGGTTAAGAGGAGATTTGAGAAAACAGATATAGCTCTACATAGTGATGCTATTATTAAACATCATAGACATAGCACGTGAGCAACGACCACTTTTTAAGGACAACAACTACAAAGGGACATCTGCTTAGAATCGGAAAGGGCCTATTGAAATGTTTATGACACGTAAGAAGGAAAGAAGTCTTGGAGAATTTGGTACTCTCAGAAGATATTAAATGCAACAGGACGTAGAAACAACGTATAACTTATCTAACTAACACATAGACTATGTGTATATGCAAGGCAGAGGTGATAAAACGACAAACAATGTTATAAACTACAAAGGAGAATTTGTGGAGAGCAGTGATTATTGAATTCCTGAAGGACCACAGCACAGAAGATGAAGCATTTTTTATTCAAATTTATATGCAACTTGATTTTTGCTCGCAAGATTTGAATTAAATAGTGGTTCGATTCGAAATGCGCTTGACGTCATGGAAATATTCAAACAATTCACATGACTTACGATAATGATCAGCACAGAAATATTTCGTCTTTCACTAATTATTCCCCCCAATATAATGCCCATGAGGCACTCAAGGTAGACAGTTAGTCAGAGGTTGTTACCCGTAAGAGAAAGTCAGATTGATTCGTTTTGTACGGTTTATCGAAACTTTGCAAGTTATTTAAAGCCAGAAAACCTTTTTAGATTTTAATAATGTCTTTTTGTGTGTTGGGGGAGGGAGAGGAGATAATACTGATTTAGTAATATACGTCTTCCTATTTAACCCATAGCTAGGGGAGAAGAGGTTGCTTTATGGCATTCCCTCAAGGCTCTTTGCATGTAAGAGAATATAACGTGCACAATGGAAATAGAAAATCGGCTCTCCGATTAAAAATTCCGAGGCCATTACACCATCAGCATTTTCAATCTTACAGCACCTGGTATTCTCAAACGGTCACCCATCTAGGTATTAACCAGGTTCGATGTTGCTTAACTTCAGTGATTGTACGGGAACTGGTGTTTCAACGTGATATGTCCGTAAGCCGTCAGAAGAAAAAGAAAGGTGTGTAGTGCAAAAACATTTGTAGGAAAGTTAACGATTAACTCTAGATGTCAAGAAATTTAAAATTGTAACGATCCGGAAAGCATTCTCTAGGGAGTTTGTTCCTCGAAGCGATGGTCCTTAGGAAGCGGCTGGTCGAATGAAATATCGTTCATATAAACAGAAAAACGGAAAGGAATTGGATGATTCGTTGCAGTGTACATGGCACTGCTGATCTTAGCTCTGAATGTCGGGGCTGTTGGAACTAAGGAGAGTAGCCCCACCAGGCATTTGGTATGCGAATATTGATAGAGTTTACGTGAGGCTTGCGACACTTCATCTGAGGTATAGCAGTTGTAGCGTGGAAAATTATTCACTGTCAACAACGCCCCGAAGAAGCTTCTGAACCCTATGAAGACGGGAAAGTGATGATTACTCAGCTCCATATCAGATTTGGCTGCCGTACTCCATTTTGGATCTGATCTGGCTCTTGTAAGGATAAAAGCATAGCAGGAAGAGGCATGTACTTACCGGAACAGTAAAAGGACCCGACCATTTCCCAAGTACTTTTAGCGATGGATCGTAAAAATTTTCCACTTGGTGTCTAATGGGAAGTTCAGTTCTAATTAAACAAATCCGATGCGAAAGTAACGGTCTTGGATTGGGCTAGTGGATTTTACAACATATCAGATTGTCTGGATTTCTTAAAGTCGAAATGTTGTTTGTATTATATTAGAGATTCTATCCAGTAGTTGGTTCGATTCCCACTAGGTGCGCCATACTTTCGGCCTTATAGCACATCTAAGCTTTGCTTAGTAAATCATTGTTTTGTGATTCTGCTTAAGCATTTATCATATTCCTGTGTGTGTGTGTGTGTGTGAGAAGTGAATCATTGTTTAAATATACACTTCAGACTGCATTGCTTGTATTCAAACTTGGGCCTACAGGTAAACATATGTCGAGTTTATGCTTTAGTCTATAGGTAAGTAAGGATCGCTTACCCCCCACCCCACCTGAATCAACAAGGATATATCTACTAAGTTTTTTTCCATTTTTGGGGAGCGGCGTATTTTATTAACTCTCGATAGATCAAAACTAACAAAGACTGAAACATGCACTTACTTTATTAAATAAATGCACTTGGATTAGGAAGGTTTAAATGCGAGTTACTACAAAAGGTTAAAATGGGATATCATTATTCTATGTCTAAATTCTTACATGTTTCCATGTGTTGATGCGCAACTTCCAGTGCGAACCACAGATTTGTCTTCTCTATTTGTTACTGAAAATATCGAGAACAATATTTTATGTCGTAAAATATGACAAAATCAATAGTTCAAGTAATATCCGGAAAAAAAAAGAACAAGCTTTTTATAAAAATATACATTAAACCTTTGAGCCATGACCGCCGCTTTACCGGTGGAACGGTGTATAAACACTTGTAACTATTTTTATATCTACTGTGAAACTTTATATACTAATTATTTGCGAATTTTGACTCAAGAGCTCAGACAGAAGGGATAAAATTGTTCAGCAACGCAGGGCCTAAAGGGTTAAGAGAAATACTCAAAATGCAATGTGAAACTAAAATCCAGATAACTGGAAATATTCTACTGTTTGAAATAAGTCACCTGATTTCAAAAATTAACATTGGAATAGCGAAAGAAGCCTTCCAAAACCTAGCAAAGTATTAACTATGGCAGTGAACGTTGGACAATCGTCTCACAGTTGAAGAAAAAGCTTAAGGCAATAGAAATGGCTTTCAACAGAAAGATGTTCAGAATAACATAGACTGGACATGTGAGTAACGAGGAAGTTTTAAGAAAAAAGAAACAAAAAGGACGCTTCTAATCAGAATCAGAAAGAGTTGAAATTTCTAGGGCACTTAATGCGGAATGAATTTTTGAAGAATTGGACACTCACAGAACGTATTAAATGTTGGAGATGCAGATTAAAGAAGCCAGTGACCTACCTAACGAGCTTATATGTCTGCAATAGAGATAGGCTAGCTGCCCTAGTAGACGGATATTCTCGAATACCAGTGGCCAGATATTATGTATTATGTTATACTATAGCCTTAATTTGTTAAATGCATTAAAAAGTATTATCTAATTGCATCATTAGCGAAATAAAAAAAAAAAAAAAATAAAGCTTCTGTAACTTTGCCTGTTTTATGTTATGCTATAAACTGTTAACAGATGACAGGACAGAGATTTTGAGGCATAGAGGAAATACAACGTTGCTAAGAGCTACAATGGATAGGAAGTTGTGGTGAGCCATGATTTCCGATGTCCTTAATGGACATGACACAGAAAAAAAGTCAGTTGATTTCACTGTTAAACATCTAAAGCAAATTAAACGCTCTGGTAGGGAGTCAAAGAAACTGACAGAAATGACGGTCGTACCAATTACTACAGTAGTAATTGATCTACCATCTGAGCCTCGTTAACCATTACATAACTCTGTGGCGCCTGTATCTGAAGAAATATAATTGCTTCCAGATTAAACGTGCGTGGGTAATCCTATTCCCCGCCGAGCAATGAGACAAAAGCAGCATTGAAATCTGCCCATGCTTCTCATACATCAATTCGACAGATTAATGCACGCGGATTCATACAATTTCTTTTAATTAGTACGGATAGTCCTTATCTATTTTGAGGACAAAATACCATACAAAATAATACCTAGACTTCCGTTATGAGACAAGATTACCTCTGTAGAATTTTTGTATCAAAACTCCGGCATGTTTTGGAGAAAAAACAAAACAAAAAAACTTATACCAAAAAATTAAAGTAATCGAAAAAATTTTCAATGATAGTTGCAAAATCGAGTTCGAATTTGGAAAGCTTTATATTCCAGCAGTTTCTCACAATTCAACACAATATTTCATTCTAACTGTTCTCTACATCTTGTCATTTCGATAGACTAAACTAAGTAAGCAAATATCCGTAACATTGACGAACATTTAAGCCTGAGGACGGAGAACATTTGTCCCTACGAGTTACGTTGAACAGTTGAAACTCGCTCGCTCACTAAAATATTGAACAGCATATAATTATTTAATTTATTAGAAAATTGTAACATAAATATGTTATAAAATCACTGCAAAAATAGCTATTTCGTTTCAACACTTCTGGGGTCTTATCAAGAGATGGTGTTGAATGTAAATTTGCTCTATTCTCTTTGTATTGAGCACTCTTTTAAGAATAGTATTTTTTGGTTATTTGAATTTATTCCTTATACACCAGTCCTATACTTGGGTATGTTTCATTAAATAATTTAGACAAGATTTGTCTACTTGTTTTGAACAGGATCCTCACGTAATTTATTCAATAGGACATGTCTTAATGAAAACATGCTACTAAAATATACACGAGATATATATATATATATATATATATATATATATAGAGAGAGAGAGAGAGGGGGGTTATTTACTTTTGTAAAATAATTAATTATTTACATTATTCGGACTATTGCCCTCATCTTTTTCGCCATGTTTATCAGAACGTTTCGGCCACTGTACGCTCTGGCTTTCTTCACGTGGTTGGAATATCGAACTGAACCCTTTATTTCGCTCACTGGGGTAGACTATTCCAGTTCCACGTGCCATGCCTAATGGATTTCAGTTATCTCCTGTTAATTACCCTCTCAAAGTTCTCCACCGCCTTAACCAGGTATTGAACTCACACTCTGGGTCCTGTCACTGAATCTAACTAACGCCCTTATCCACTGTGGACATACGTGTATGAATTTCTGGGTATTATAAACCTAATGTCTTCAGCAACCGTTTTTTAGCAGTTCTCATATTGCAAGTTTTGTTGTTATCATTGTATGTTTTTTACCAGAGCTCATATTGCAATTTTTTTTTTGTTATTATCGCTTCTCTCTGGGACTCCATGTTGCTGGTTCCCATATTGTATTCATTTCTATGCTTGGTCGGCTCAGGAAATGTTTGTGGCCTAGAATATGTGCTGATATAGTGAGATACTGAATTGATTACCTGTATCAAAAAAATAATGCAAAATTGTTTAATTCCAAATGTTACCGCCAAAACGTAAAATCGTATATTAGTATTGTATTACTTTGACATTCTGGAACCTTCTAGGTCTTGTTTTTGATTGTGTTTCTGGACGTGGTATCTCAGCGTGCAGCACCTTTGGAAAGTGCCTGAAAACCATACCACGAGTTGAGCCAGGCCTTGAGAGTGAAATCGGTAGACGGAAAACTTGTGGGCCTTCGATAGCTGCGCTAGCACGAAGTCACAAATCAACGTGACCGAGGGTATGAGCGTGCTGGCGTTGTTCAGAATCTTGATCATGCTATTATTATATATATATATATATATATATATATATATATATATATCCCAGAAACTGTAAGTAATGTCTACTCAGCATAATTGCTGTATAAACCACTGGTGGACTCTGTGGGAGTTGAAGAAACACAATTGCTTCTGAGCAAGCGTCTGCAATAGGGATTGGTGATCCGCCCTAGTAGACGGGTATCCTTGAATACGAGTGGCCAGCTATTATCTATTATGATATACTATAGCTTTAATCTGTTAAAAAGTACTATCTTATTGCATCATTAGCAAATAAAAGCTTCTGCAACTTTGCAGGATTTATGTTGTGCTATAAACTCTGAAAATACGTTAAAAATACAGTACTATCCATTTACATCGTTAGCAAATTGAAAAATATAACTTCTGAAATATTTTGATTTTTTACCCTCATTGCGTATATGGTAAAATCGAATTTTCGTTTTAGCAGTGACCTTCTTCAAGAATTATAATAAATTGATACTTATTTTTTATTAATTCTAAACAAAAGTTTCTCTATTTATCATACAAGAATCTTCTTATCCCAAAAGAGCACATAGTAAGTGCTGATGGTAATAAAACAATACTTGATCTAAAATAACGGAGCTAAAATTTATATTGCTAATAAATATACATTTTTTTTTACTCAGCGTTTGCTACAACTCTGGGTTTCATGAATTTGGCAATCGCCAGACGCGGTTTGAAAGCTGACAGTTGCAAGGTTGAAATATTAATAATGCACTCTTAAGATAGCGATCTATCCATTTACTTACGAAAAATATTTTGAAAAATGGATCAAATAAAAAAAAAGGATAAAGAGATTACAAAAATACACTTGCATGCACCCGATTACAAACGTGTACATATATTGCTACACAGCAAATGTAAGCAAATATACAAGCATATTCATATCCAAGTTTAAAAGGAAAAATATTCGTCAATATGAAAGGGTTACGCAAAAATATGCAGACATATTGTTAGTAATTTATTTAATCAGCGACACACACACAAAAATATATTATATATATATATATATATATATATATATATATATATATATATATATATATATAGAAAAAGTTTCAAATTAAAAAAATAATAATGTTTTATTTTATGAAAGTATATATATATATATATATATATATATATATATATATATATGAGAGAGAGAGAGAGATGAAGAAAATATGCAATTTTTTTTAAAAAGTATCCATTTGGGTAATATTATATGTATTTTGTGCAACGTTTGGTTAATATTAATCACCAGATAGAATTATTCTGAAACAACAGATATCTGGGTTTAACATCTGGGTTAAACGATTGGCAATAATTTTGGTTGTATGATAAACTCATTCTAATAAACACTTACTCTTTCAAGAATGTAATATTATTTGAACGAGATTTTATTTTCATAAAACAGTTATACACAATGGCAGAATTCAACCGATTCATATTAAACGACTCCTAAAATTACTGAATTCGCAGAAACAATTCATGGAATGTTGCAAAATTAAAGTTTCCTATTTTAAAAATCTTTTTTTTTTCCAGAAATTAGATTTGGCGCCTACATAAAAAAAATGGTTACATTTGTTTTAGGACAAATTTTCTCTTTATTTACTTTTACATGGGAGGTTAGGTTATATATATATATATATATATATATATATATATATATATATATATACACACACACAGAACAATATATATATAATATATCATATACCAGAAAATTCAGGAAAATTCATGAAAATTTTTTGTGTGTGTCTCACACGTATATTCATTTAGGAATTCATCGAGCGAAAGAGATCCTTCCCTTGATGCGTCTACACATGCGCACGAAGCGGATATTTTAAAGTAAATTTGAATTTCTTTAAATTCTTACATATTCAACGCAAAACAGAAGGCTTGTAAAATATTTCAAGACATGGGAGTAGACCATAGGGACCCAGCGAAACAATATATATTACTCTACCTATCTACGCTATCACAATTAGAACTGAAAATAGAACTTAAAATCTGTACAACTTTTTTAAAACAATGAAATAATACGAAAAATATTAATAAACTATGATTGAGGAATTTATTCAATTACCCGTAATAACTGCGACAAGGAATACACAGTTGAAACCTCAAGGAATTTAAGTAAAATATTAAATGAAGGTAAAAGTGAAATTTTACAAAATCACAATCAATGTCTCAGTAGCTCATCATAATAACTGACTATAATTTCGATTTTTCAGAAGCCGACTTTAATTAAAAGAGAAAGCAATTTTTTAAGACGAAATTGTATAAAAAATGTTTTGATCAGCAAATCATCGATAGTAAATATGCGTCTAGGTTCTTATATTTTATGTTTAGTGGTAGAACTATGATCACAATGTGGGATGATTAATAAAAGCGATAAAAAAATAAAAAAAAATAAACTAAATGTAACTGGCTAGAGTATATACCTAGACACATAAAAAAAAAAACAACTTTAAAAATTTAAGACGCTCCTCTCGCATATGTACATGTGTAGTTGTATAAACGGAAACATTTGACAAAGTCCGAATGGAAGGAACGCGTCACAGAAACTGTTTTTCCACTTTGTCATCAATTCTAAATTGATACTATTTTTCAATAACAATATATGAAAGTCTTTGAATCCTAATGCTAACTAAACATATTATGCAGTCATCTTCCTTTTCATTCCATTCCAAAAATTATGGATGCAAAGAAAAGCTAGAATCGTATTCATTTATTTCTTTTTCATTCTTACTGCTGGTTAGATTAATAAAATATTTGAGTTAAACAAATCGTTTGGTAAAGGAGACGTTCAAGTAAAAATTGTTTTTAAACGATGAACAAGGTATAAAGAAACAGGAAAATTTCGTTAGAATCATAAAAAATCACCATATTGTTTTAAAGAGTAAAAGCCTCAAACGTTTTTATTATAATGTAGAATTTTTTGATGCACTTTGTTCTTTATAATTTGCTACGCGTGTTTTGGGTCGTGAAGAATAATTCTTTTAAATAATTTATGGAAATAACCAATGTTTTTTCCTTCCTGTATTAAAATCTTTTAACCATTGTCATTTGCGTGTAGTAGTAGTCATCTAAATCTATCTTGAATTGACCAAAAAATGTACCTTTGCTTGAAGGGTAATAAAACAATTAAATTTAGTCAGATAAATGGAAAGAAAAGAGGATGTCTTTCTTATCTTTTTATATCCCCGTGTATCTTCTCCTTCCGTCATCTATTCTTGCGTAATGTGTGAGAGTTTTTGCAAGCGTGTGTGTGCACACACACACACACATATATATATATATATATATATATATGAAGAAAAATATACGGAAAAAACAAACAAAAATCCTAATATACAATTACGTGATCATATTTAAAAGAAACGCTGATCTTATAAAAGATTTCAGTTATCTGTTTGGATTGGTCTTGCTCTTATGGCCATCGTCTTTTTCATGTTTAATTGAATATGGTCTAATGTTAATTATGCTTTATTAATATGTCCTGAAGATGGTCTATTAGACCGAAACGTCCGACGTTGACATTATATTAACATTAAAACAGCATAATTGCATATTAGGATATTTGTTTGTTTTTTCCGTATATTTTTCTTCATACTGTCGGATCTATATCCATATATTTGCTTATATATATATATATATATATATATATATATAAAGAGACAGAAAGACACGGGATCATGAAGAGACGTAGAATTAGGAAAGAGGACATGGAAAACTTAACACTCAACTGGATATAATCAAGGCAAGGACAGGCAGAGGCAACAGGCCAACTACCCGTCAAGTTAACTGAGAAAGTAAAGATGCTGGGGGATGGTAAAAAAAAAAAAAACTAACGTTATTAAGAACTACAAATGATAGGAAATGATGGAGTTACTCACGTCGTAAAGAGACACGGCACATAGTAGAAGGACACACTCAGATATGCAAATTAAATTTTTAACCAAGTGTTCCTGGTTATAAAGTTTAAATAAAAGATAACTTCAATAAATACATAGTTACTATTCATGGTACATTCTGGGGTCAAAAAGCCATATTGCGGTCTTCTGAATGAATTATCATAAGATTCCTGTCGTAGAAAATGAACATTCTTGACACTTGGTATGTTGTCACCTCAAGACTTGAAATTGATAAGGAATTATATTTCTTCATTGTTTTACTTAGCGGCATATCAACATCACTATGGGTTATTTAATTTCCGAAAACTAAATATTTTTTACGCAATTTTATGTTTTATTTTTGCAGATAATGTTTAGTGATAACAGTCTTACTAATTAACCCTTACCAAGGGGAAGAAGAAGTAGTTTCATGCCTTTCTCCAAGGTATTTGCGTAGAGGTGATTATAACGAACCCGACTGGAAGTGGAACTCGGCTCTCCGATTAACAATTCCGAGCCATTATCCGTTACAGCACACACGCCTCCAAGCTTATAGCACCTAGAATTCCCAAGAGTTCACCCATCTAGGTACTGACCAGATTCATATTGCTTAACTTCCATGATCGTACGGAAAGCGGTGCTACAATGTGATGTGACCGTAAGCCTTTCTACTGTTTGGTGATTCAAATATTTACAAAGGAATAAGAGATTCTGGCGATATTATACCTTTCGATCTAGAATTGCGTACTTGTAAAATCCACCGGAACATCTTGACGGGCGTGGATGCATAGTGGATACTGACGACTTTTTTTTTTTTTTTTTTTTCGGAGAAAAAACATATGATACGATGGTTGATTACTTTAGAGTACGGTTTCCCAATCTGGGCGATATCGCACACCGTTGGACGATTTCAACTGTTGGGTGGGCGATGAGGAACTGAACAGAAAATGGTGAGCGATTGGAAATTTAGGCAGCCAATATAAAAAAACAAAAACAAAAACATTTCAACAAATGCTATCCGAAGAAATATTTAAATGAGATATGCAAAGAACTTGCATTAAAAAAAGTGGTTAAATAGGAATAAATGGGTCATATTCCTAGATAACATATAAACATATCCGCAACGAGTTTTCTATAATTTTGAGAAGGGTGATTGATATCCTGTTATACCGGAACGTACCTATTCTATTGTAAATAGACTCTCCCACAGATAAGTAGTAGTAGTAGCAGTCGCCAGTGAAGCTCAGTGAGTTGTGGGAGTCATTCGATGTCGGACATTAAAGTATGAGCCCCACAACTAGATTGCTGCGTCATTAACTATGATTTCAAGTTCCTAACGTTTTGTACGTCGAACCCAATTTAGGACCGACTTAGTGAAATACAAGCCTCCACTGTGAAAATTACTCTACAACACATTCAAATACTTCTTCAGACAAAATAATATTCTTCGTATATGAATGAGATAAGGGATGAAGGGAAACAAAAAAACATTCACTGAATTTTTGTTTGTTGATAGTAGTTTTAATTAATTGTATAATTATGAACAAAAATCGTTTAATTTATTGTCAACAGTTGCAATGCTAACATTAACCATAAAATTAAATTACTTTTATTTGTTCTTTAATACGGTAGTTGCAGCTTCCCCATAAGTCTTCGTTATTTTTTACCTCCTTTTGGTATTTTCGACTACATCATAAACTCAGTTTACGAACCAGTAACAAACATTTAACAAACAATTTTAGAGTTCTTTTGAATATTTACTATACAGGTGAGTGATGTAAAGATTTTCCATGGGAAAGTGGATGATCGCACAAAAAAAGTTTAGAAAACACTGTTTTACAGAGTTCATGAGAATCAAGTATTCTAAGAATCAGAATTTTACCATCTTTGGCATCAAATCGCCACAAATTTATATCATGTTTAATAATATTGGTGATTGAATTTTTAATAAATTGAACAAACTTAGATATAGTTTTCATTGATTGAAAAATTTAGTTTCCAGATCATAATGCAAATTTTAATACCCACGAAGTAAGTGTTTCTAGAACGGTGTAAAATTGCGTCGAAAACTTTACTACCTAGACTTTCAACTTGGTTTAGGGTTGTTCCTTTCCGGCTTGTTAGATACACTTACGCGTAATTATAATTTGTAAATGTATGCATCCATCTCCTCCCCTGCAACTGTGGGTAAAATTGTAGGACATGTATCTGGAAAAATCGTCAAAAATTTGTAATCCAGCATTCACTCGCTAGTAAACAAAAATAGAATGAAAGAACTATTCTTATAATCCAAAATAAGTTTCAGGTTTAGATAACACATGATGGGTTGATAAGCCGTTAAAAATAAAGAAAAACAATCAATCTCCCTCATTCATCTGAGTATTCTGCTAATGGTAACTTTAATCCTGGCATTTGTTGAGAGAACATAGTGCTAGGAGAATTGGATTTATCCCAACAAACGTGATGGAAATAACAAAATCAACGTCAACAAAGACTCGAACTTTCGCCGATATCTACTCTCATATATTCTTTTCTTATACAAATAAGAATGACGTCACACATTATGAAATGGACAACGTCTGACAAATATTTTTAAGACATTTATGAGCATAAAAAGACATCTTAAAAATAATTGTGGGGCTTTGTCCAGTTTATAATGTGTGACGTCATTTGTTTAGATTTGAATACGCACCGAGCAGATATGAATGTACGAGAGAAAATCATGGAGAATTGTAATTTAAAAACAGTAAAACCGAAACTCTCCTCTGTGGCTAAATCGGTAAAACACGTCAGGCTATATGACGGTTTCGTATAGTATACAGGTTCGATTCCTGTCGGAGGATGCATACTTTCTATGAAAATTTCTCGGACATTCAGACCGGTAAATGTCGTTAATACTGTTTATTATAAACAGAGCATTTACTTAAATATTTGTATCTGTAAAAAGAACGTATAAACATAAAAAAAATGTCTTAAAACAAATAAGAATATAAACACATCAAGAAAATATGGAACAGATGAAAGCAATTCAAGGAATAGAAATATTAGACACTCAGATAATTAAGATAGGCAGAGGAAAGAGGTTTTCAACGGAAGAGCAGGAGAAATAAATGACTTCGCCCCCCTCAGAGCGTGAGAAATTGTTTCAGATGCTAGATCTTTAGTATTAGCGTAACGAGCCCCTCCCAGGTTTTCTTTTTGTCGGCAGTATAGTGCGTTAGACTCATTTCAACGCAATAACCTTATCCCTTCTTTTTTCTACTGATCGGAATATGTCAAGGGCTCACTTGTAAGACCTCACAACTTGCCGCTAATACCATTCAGAAATTGGGTTATGACAAGTCAGATTGTGGAATTTGTTATTGTATACAATTATATACAGTGGGGGGGATAAATATTCGTACGCATGAAAAATTGTATTTTTATCAATGTAAAAGCCTTGACTAAAACAAATTTTGATACATTTTATCTGTAAAGATACATTTTGTTAAAAAATGCTAATAAACTTAATTCTTGCTCTAACAGAAATTAATGCATTTTTTCATTTTAACTGATGAAAAAAGTATTCGTACAAAACAAAAAAAAAAGCATATTAATTTAATTAAATACTTTGTGGAATATCCTTTATTGAGTTCAACAGCTACCAGTCTATTCCTGTACGTCTCAACTAATGATTTGCACACATTGAGTGGTATTTTGTCCCATTCTTCTTGGCATATTGTCTTCAAATTCTTGATATTTGTTGGTGCTCTTTTCCCAAATTGAATTTTCAAATATCGCCATAAATTCTCGATTGGGTTCAAGTCTGGGGACTGACTTGGCCATTGCAAGACATCAACGTTACTTTCAGCTAACCATTTCCTTGTAGATCTAGCGGTATGCTAGTATCATTATCCTGTTGGAAAACCCAATCAGGAGGTAGCCGAAGACACTCAACAGAACGAATTAAATTGTTTTGCAGGATTTTCTGGTAGCTTTCGGCATTCATCTTGCCATCTATTAGTGATATTCTGCCAACACTTTTTGCAGAAAACATCCCCGGATCATGATACTACAACCGTTGGCAACGTGTTCTTTGGTAAGTCGGCTTCACCGTCCTTCCTCCACACATGATTTCGATAATTATGACCAAACAACTCTATTTTTGTTTCATCTGTCCATAGTACTTTTTCCCAAAACGAATATTCTTTATTCTTATGCTCTCTAACGAATTTTAGCCTAGCATCTCTGTTTCGTTTCAAGAGGAGTGGAGTCTTCCTTGGGATGCGTGATTTCAGACTGTTTTTGTGTAGTTCATTACTTATTGTACGCTTGGTTACCATAATCCCTAATGCACGCAGATGCTCCTGCAGCTCTTCTCGCGTAATCTTTGGATTTTGTTGGATCTGGCGTCCTAATATCCTTGCTGATCTTAGAGAAATCTTCCTCGGAGCACCTGTTCGTCTTTGGTTTTCGACGATGTTACGAGTTTTAAACCTTGCAATGAACGAAGCAATTGTAGTAAAAGGAATATTCAGGTTGTTAGAAATCGTTCTGTAACTGTTCCCATCTTTCCAAAGAGACAAAATGTGTTGATTTTGTGAAATAGTCAATTCTTTACCTTTAGGCATTATTAGAACCTTCTCGTAAGACTAGAAATTGCAGAATGCTCTGATAATGGCTAATAGCGTTAACTATAATTGCTGGAACATTCTAGAATATACTTTTTTTTCATAACTACTTGATTATTTTATTCTAATAATTGATTTGTACGAATACTTTTTTCACCAGTTAGAATTTTTAAAAAATGGTTTAATTTCTGTTAGAATAAGAATTAATTAAGTTTAGTATTATTTTTTAATAATATGTGTCTCTATACATAAAATGTGCCGAGATTGGTTTTATTTAAGGCTTTTATATTTATAAAAATACAATTTTTTTTCAAGTGTACGAATATGTATTTCCCCCAGTGTATATGTGTTTTTTGGGGGAGGCGGGAAACTTAAGTCGCGATCCGAACATTGTCGCTTTCTGAGGTGTGACGATGTGAAGCATTTTAGCTCTATCTTTTTAACCTAGGCATGGAGCACTGTCGGTTGAGTTTTAGGAAGATATTTACTTTGGATCTTTTTTTGTTGTGTTTAGATTATATTTCCTTTTCTCTGTATCATTTTTTTTGTATCAAGTTTATTGATTGTTAATTTTTTTTTGTTTCTTTTTAATAACCTTTTCGTTTTCTTTTTTAATTTTTGGTCACCTGTTAGACATTCTATTATTTTAACTTATTAAGGTATATATATATATATATATATATATATACACGTATTTAACAGGTAACGCGACTCGGAGTTTCATTCATAACGCAAACTTCAGGTGCTAAGTTAAGATTGACTATTACATAATTTAAATTTGATTAAATATATCAGGTTGTCGAAATAATGGAGCAGTTCATGTTTCGTAATTTATATATATATATATATATATATATATATATATATATAAAATAAACATAAAAAATAACTCAGTACTTTTGCATGACACTCCGAGTCGTGCTACCGGTGATGCTAAATATCTATTCGCAAAAGCAAGTAAGATATAATTTATAGCACTGTTATATTGAATATTTACACTGCACTACTTTATTAAAAAACATATCCACAGAAAAAGCACATAGAATTCTTGT